CAGCAGTGTCAGGAAAGGAGACATGGAAGAAATTAGAGAGGCACAAGAGGGGGAAAGAAAAGACTAATTTCCAGTTGTACACTGCTTTTATGATCAGCAATTTATGCATTTTGAGATGAACCATTTATCCCTTCTCCCTCAAATGTCTGACTTTTTTTTCTACAATTATCTATATTATTGGCTTCAACCATTCTCCGTGGTACCCAGTTCCATATTCTTGCTACTGTTTGGTGAAGAGGTCGTTCTGAATTCCCCATTGGACTTCTCAGTGACCAGTTATGCTGATGGTCTCAGATGATTCTCGTCCCTACAAGTAGAAATTTTTTTTCTGTATGCCCCCTATCACATCCTGCATGCTTGCTAGCCCGTAGTGCAACTTAGTGATTGATGTTTCTATACTTTGAGATTCTGTGTTACTCTACTTAGACTGGCACCTTCCGAGTGATGTGACCTTGTATGCTTCCTCGCAAATTGCACAGCTCCTATTTATCTGGGCTCAAACTTTGTTCGCTAATTGCTTCCCCATTCTGCAAACTTAATGAAATTGGTTGCAGTCCTCCTGAATACTAATTATCCCAATTAATACTAATTATCCCCATTAATTTACGGGATGTGGTGATGTTGTGGCAATGTCACTGAGTTAGGAATTCTGAATCTCAGATTAATATTCTAGGGATGTTGGTTTGAATTCCACCATGACAGTTGGTGGAATTTGAATTCAGTAAAAATGTGGAATGAAAAGATAGACCAATTATGACATTGTAAATATCACTGAATGTCATAAACAAAACGTCTGGCTCACTAATATGAGATAACACAGCGTGGAGCTGGAGGAGCACAGCGGGCCAGGCAGCATAAGAGGACCAGGAAAGTTGATGTTTCAGGTTGGGACCCTTCTTCAGAAGTGGGGGAGGGTGAAGGGAGCTGGGAAATAAAGAGAGAGGAGGATGGGGCTGGGTGAGGTAGGTGGGATGATGATAAGTGAGTGCAGATAGGCAGTGGTGGGGATTGGTCAGTGAGGTGGGAGGAGCGGATAGGTGGGAGAGAAGACGGACAGGTTGTGTCAGGTCAAGGATGCGGGATTGAGAGGGAGGGTTGGTCATGGGATGAGGCTGGGGGTGGGGAGATTTTGAAACTGGTAAAGTCTACATTAAGTCCATTGGGTTGTAGGCTCCCAAGGCAGAATATGAGGTGCTCCTCCTCCAGTTTCCAGGTGGTGTCATTGTGATACTGGAGGAGGCCCAGGATGGACATGTCGTCCAGGGAGTGGGAGGGAGAAGTTGAAGTGGTTTGTGAATGGAAGGTGTTGTCATTTGTCGCGAACAGAATGCAGGTGCTCTACAAAACAGTCTCCGAGCCTCCGCTTGGTCTCGTCGATGTAGAGAAGGGCACATCGGGAGCAGCGGATGCAGTAGACCACTAACAGATGTGCAGGTGAACCTCTGTCTGATGTGGAAGGTTTATTTGGTGCCTTGGATGGAGATGGGGGGGGAGGTGTAGAGGCACTTCCTGCGGTTGCAGGGAAAGGTGTCGGGGGTGGTGGGGATAGTGGGGCTAGTGGGGAGTGTTGAACAGACAAGGGAGTCGTGGAGAGAGCGGTCCCCTACGGAAGGCAGATAGGGGTGGGGAGGGAAATATATCTTTGGTTGTGGGGTGGATTGCGGGTGGCGGAAGTGGTGGAGAATGATACATTGAATACGGAGGTTAGTGGGGTAATATGTGACAACAAGGGGGATTCTGTCTTTATTTCTGTTGCGGGGAGTGGATGTGAGGGCAGAGGTGCGGGAAACGCAAGTGATGCGGTCGAGAGCATTTTCGACCACTGAAGAGGGGAAGTTGTGGTCCTTGAATTGAGAGGACATCTGGGATGTTTGGGAGTGGAACGCCTCATTTGGGAGCAGACGCGGCGGAGGCGGAAGCATTGTGAATAGGGGATTGCATTCTTGCAGGAAGGTGGGTGAGAGGAGGTGTAGTCTAGGTAGCTGTGGGAGTTGGTGGTTGGCCCAACCGGTCCCCCTCCACCGACACCCTTGTCCGCTTAACCAAACTTGTCCTTACCCTTAACAACTTCTCCTTCAACTTCTCCCGCTTCCTACAGACTAAGTGGGTGGCCATAAGAACCCGCCTGGGCCCAAGCTGTGCCTGCCTCTTTGTAGGATACGTGGAACAGTCCCTGTTCCGCAGGGACACTGGCACTATCCCCCACCTCTTTATCCGCTACATTGATGACTGTATTGGCACTGCCTTGTGCTCCCACGAGGAGCTTGAACAGTTCATCAACTTTACTAACACCTTTCACCCCAAGCTCAAGTTCACCTGGACCATCTCTGATATTTCTCTCTCATTCCTGGACCTCTCTGTCTCCATCTCTGGTAACAGTGTCGAAACTGACATCTATTTCAAGCCCACTGACTCCCACAGCTACCTAGACTACACCTCCTCTCACCCACCTTCCTGCAAGGATGCGATCCCCTATTCCCAATTCCTCAGCCTCTGCCGCATCTGCTCCCAAGATGAGGCGTTTCACTCCCAAACATCCCAGATGTCCTCTTATTTCAAGGTGGTCGAAAATGCTCTCGACTGCATCACTTGCGTTTCCCACGCCTTTGCCCTCACATCCCCTCCCTGCAACAGAAACTAAGACAGAATCCCCCTTGTCGTCACATATCACCCCACTAACCTCCTTATTCAATGTATCATTTTCCGCCACCTGCAATCCGACCCCACAACCAAAGATATATTTCCCTCCCCATCCCTATCTGCCTTTCGTAGGGACTGCTATCTCCGTGACTCCCTCGTCCGCTCCACACTCCCCACTAGCCCCACCACCCCCCGGCACCTTTCCCTGCAACCACAGGAAGTGCTACACCTGCCACTACACCTCCCTCCTCACCTACATTTAAGGCACCAAACAAACCTTTCAATCAGACAGAGGTTCACCTGCACATCTGTCAATGTGGTCTATTGCATCCACTGCTCCCGATGTGGCCTCCTCTACGTCGGTGAGACCAAGCGGAGGCTCGGAGACCGCTTTGTAGAGCATCTGCGCTCTGTTCACAACAAATGACGACACCTTCCAGTCGCAAACCAGTTCAACTCCCCCTCCCACTTCCTGGGTGACATGTCCATCCTGGGCCTCCTCCAGTATCATAATGACACCACCCGGAAACTGGAGGAGGAGCACCTCATATTCCGCCTTGGGAGCCTACAACCCGATGGACTTAATGTAGACTTTACCAGTTTCAAAATCTCCCCACCCCCGGCCTCATCCCATGACCAACCCTCCCTCTCATCCCCGCCTCCTTGACCTGACGCAACCTGTCCATCTTCTCTCCCACCTATCCAGTCCTCCCATCTCACTGACCTATCCCCACCACTGCCTACCTGCACACACCTATCACCATCCCGCCTACCTGCACACACCTATCACCATCCCACCTACCTTCCCCAGCCCCACCCCTCCTCTCTCTCTTTATTTCCCAGCCCCCTTCCCTCTCCCCCATTTCTGAAAAAGGGTCCCGCCCGGAACATCAGCTTTCCTGGTCCTCTTATGCTGCCTGGCCTGCTGTGCTCCTCCAGCTCCATGCTGTGTATTCTCTGACTCCAGCATTGGCAGTTCTTACTATATCGGGTTCACTAATTTCCTTTAGGGAAAGAAATCTGCTGTCCTTGCTTGGTATGGCCTTGGTATTGACTGCAATCCACAGCAATGTGATTGACTCTCGACTGCCTTCTGGGTAATTAGCGTGCAATAAATGCTGGCCTAGCCATTGACACCTGCATTCCATGAACAAATAAAAATAATTGGTGTCATTGTTTCATCCGCAGTTAGAATTTGCATTTCTGATGTCAAAGTCAAAATTGTTAGTTTAAATTATTAATACCAATGATCCTTGTGGAACACTGCTTCCCATTTTCTGAGATACATCTTTACTCCCATTCTCTGCTTTCTGTGCAGAAGCCTGTTGGCAATCCATTTTGCAATCATTTCACAGACTCCATATTCTCTGAACTGTTTCATTCATATATTATGAGGAACCTTAAAAGTGGCCTGCTGAAAATCCAGATAGATTGCATCCAGTTCATTATCAATGTCTATTGTCTCTGTTACCATCTCAAAAATTCAATAAGGCTGGTCAAGCAAAGTTTTTCCTTTTTGAAACACAAGCTGATTATTCATAATTGCACTTCTCTTTTACAGATGTTCTTCTATTGTCTCATAGATATTCAATTTCTTTTTCTAATTTTAAAATGATTGGTCAACAGCCCTGGTATGTTGTGACTCCCTTAAGTAATTTACATTAGCTATTTGACAATCTGACACCACATCCTTTTCTAAAGAAATTACTAAATATGCATCTTCCAAACCATTGCCCTCCATCACTTGAAAGATAAGGGCAACAAATGCACAGGAACAGCACTACCTGCAGAATCCTGTCCAAATCACTCACCATTCCGACTTGGAACTATATCAGCTATTCTTTCAGCATTGCTGGGTCAACATCCTGAAATACTCACTCTAACAATATTGTCAATATCCCTTCAACACAAGGACTTCTGCAATTCAAGAAGGCAGCTCACCATCGCCTTATCAAGGCTAATTAGGAATGGGCAGTATGTGCTGGTCTGGCCAGCTATGCTGACATCCTATGACTGTAATAAAAATATTGTTCTGAGTGTTCTGAAGAAGGATCACCGGACCCGAAACGTTAACTCTGTTTTTTCCTTTACAGATGCTGCCAGACCTGCTGAGCTTTTCCAGCAATTTCTGGTTTGTTTCTGGATTTACAGTTCTTCCATTTTTTAAAAAAAAATTGTATAATGCTTTAGTTATCTTTTCCCTGTATTCTTTTAAAATAAGCAGTCTGTCCTGAATTGCTTTTTGGATTTAATAGTAACTAACGTTAATTGATGACACTTCACAGATGTCATAAATTACTGTGAAAGGTATGAAGCTATTGAAGATTTTAACCAGCAAACTTATCCTACCTTTATTACAGGATCCTTTGTTTGTGGATCTAATTGGCACTTGCCACACGGACCAGTTGACGCCAGCAATTCTGAAGCCCAGACACATTGAGCTGTACCGTACTAACATGGTGCGTGGACTGACATTCTACCCACCTGATATATTGAGTATGATGCTACAGGAGGGCAAACTGCAGCTCCTTGCTGATGGCACGCTGATTTTGGCTCCTGATCAATGTTGCATGATTGCCGAGAAGAGCGATAATGAGGTAAATGTCCTGCCTAACCCATTCAATTCTTGACTCACCACCAAACTTCCAATTCTCCGGTCCCCAACACCTCATCTAACTAAAAACCACCAATGCAAGAGCTAGAATTAGGGGTCAAATCTAGAACTGGGGTCATTCATTTTGTTATTTTAAATACCAGTGTACATGCATCAGTAATAAAAGTGTATTTATTAATATTGCATCAGATGTTTAAGAAGAAAATAAAGTATATAATCACTTCACCAACACCTTCCACCCCAACCTTAAGTTCACCTGGACCATCTCTAATACCTCTCTCCTTCCTGGACGTCTCTGTCTCCATCTCTGGCAACCACCTAGAAACCGATATCCATTTCAAGCCCACTGACTCCCACAGCAACCTAGAATACACCTCCTGCCACCCACCTTCCTGCAAAAATGCCATCCCCTAATCCCAATTCCTTCGCCTCTGCGGCATCTGCTCCCAGGATGAGGCATTCCACTCCCGTACGTCTCAGATGTCCTCGTTTTTCAAGGACCGCAACTTCCCCCCCTCAGTGGTCGAGAACGCCCTCGACCGTGTCTCCCACGTTTCCCGCAACTCATCCCTCACACCCCGTCCCCGCAATAACAACCAAAAAAGAATTCCCCTCATCCTCACGTACCACCCCACCAACCTCCGGATCCAACGCATCATCCTCCGACACTTCCGCCAACTGCAATCTGACCGCACCACCAAAGACATTTTTCCCTCCCCATCCTTATCTGCTTTCCGGAGGGACCACTCTCTCCGTGACTCCCTTGTCCGCTCCACACTCCCCTCCAGCCCCACCAGACCTGGCACTTTTCCCTGCAACCGCAGGAAATGCTACACCTGCCCCTACACCTCCCCCCTCACCCCCATCCCAGGCCCCAAGAAGACTTTCCACATCAACCAGATGTTCACCTGCACATCTGCTAATGTGGTATACTGCATCCACTGTTCCCGTTGTGGCCTCCTCTACATCGGGGAAACCAAGCGAAGGCTCGGGGACTGCTTTGCAGAACACCTATGCTCGGTTCGCACTAAACAACTGCACCTCCCAGTCGCAAACCATTTCAACTCCCCCTCCCATTCCTCAGGCGACATGTCCATCCTGGGCCTCCTGCAGTGCCACAACGATGCCACTCGAAGTTTGCAGGAACAGCAACTCATATTCCGCTTGGGAACCCTGCAGCCCAACGGTATCAATGTGGATTTCACAAGCTTGAAAATCTCCCCTCCCCCTACTGCATCCCAAAACCAACCTAGCTTGTCCCCGCTTCCCTAACCTGTCCTTCCTCCCACCTATCCCCTCCTCCCACCTCAAG